TAAAAATGCCAAAAAATAACAGATTAGAAAATTTACCGGTCCATATTGACCAAATAAAACCATTTCACAGCAGGTCAGGAGAATAAAATAACTTTACAATTTTACTTAAATTTAAACCACATTTTTACTATTTTTATTTTGTTTCATATTAATTTTTTTTTTTTGTATTTNCATTTTTTTTTTTGGATATTGATGGCTTACTCATTTATAATTGTCAATATAAATAATTTTTATTCTCAATTAATTTTATTATTTATAACTACTTTCTTAATTAGACGTGTATTGAATAATTATTATATTAATTCTTGAATTTATATTTTTACTTTTGTCAGTCATCGGATAAAGGATCAAAGATAAATGCTGACTAGCGTGACAATAATTTTGTCAACTATTTATGTATTAATAATACACATCAAAACATAATATGCAATGCATCTTGTATAGTAGATGGTTAAAAGTGCTTGAATTAATTATAAATGTTTTTAAAACATTTTAACCTTTATCGTATTTAAACAAAAATTATAGTTACAAGAGGTTACAATATTAAAGAATCACAATTATTTCTAAAATGAGAATTATGGCTTAAATAATATACTTTACTGCTTACAACTTTCTATTAATACTANCTATACTTTACTGCTTACAACTTTTTATTAATACTAATTTTACATTTAATTATAGCGTAATAAAAATCTTTAACTAGCTTGCCATTTATGCTTTATTAATACACTATTATTTTGGAATGCTATAATTCGTACGCATATTATAGAAATATTTTTTACATTTTAANGTACGCATATTAAAGATATATTTTTTACATTTTAAAAATACTGATTATTCTCAGTCCAACGATCTTTATTATGTTAACATATGAAGCTCTAGTTTGGTCGGTAATAACACCTAACATTCTTGCTGATGAAGCGATTGGCCACCGCGACATTTCAAAAACGTGACTCTGACATTCATCATTATCTCACGTGACGACGTTTAATGATGATAAATATTTTACATAGTATTACAATTATGTAGTATTACTTGTTAAAATCAATTATTTTAGCATCTTAATACTGCTCGATCAATATTATTTTAGATTTTGATCATTGTGATAATTATTAAATTTTATGAGTATTATATTATTTTTATCAAATTTTCTTATATTCCAGCAGCGACCGAAGAATTTTCCGGCATTGTCTGATGATGATTATTAAATTTATTATTTATTATGTTTATTAAAAAAAAAAAAAAATGGTATATTTTTGGAAGTCAAATAAAAGCTGACATATTTCAGTCTAATTATTATTGCTATAAGCATTTTTGTTATATTTGATTTATCTTTTATTCCAGCAGCGACCGAAGACTTTTCCGGCACTGTCTGATGATGATTATTAAATTTATTATTTATTATGTTTATTAAAAAAAANTATTGGCTAAGTGGTTCCAATATTTGTTCCGGAACGGAACTATGCGTAAAAATCATTTCGGCTATTTGCTCCGGAACGGAACTTTGCCTAAAAATCGTTCCGACCATTTGCTCCGGAACAGAATGCTAGCTACAAATTGTTTCGCAAAAATGCTTTGAAATGTTTCTATTTATTTTCACCCCTCTGATATTTATTAATCACATTTAAATTATTATTATATTTTAGCTTCGATGCGAAGCTGAGAAGGTATTGGTTTTACTATGATGTGTTTTTTTTTTTTTTTTTGTGTCTGTTACCACTTTTTCTTAGCTCTCACCGAACCAATTTCTTTCAATGATACTTCAAAAGATCACAAATCGTATCTAGTCNTGTCTGTTACCACTTTTTCTCAGCTCTCACCGAACCGATTTCTTTCAATGATACGTCAAAAGATCACAAATCGTATCTAGTCGAAGACATTACCCTTAACAATTGAAAAAAATTCCCTCGTTCCCCGTAAAAGGGGGAAACTTCCTAAAAAATTACAAATTTAAAAATCGCTAATTTTCGAAATTTTTTTACTTAAAAGTGCTATAACATTTTCAAAAATGAACATATCAATATAAATATTTTTTATATAGATTCATAATATCATTACCTTTCATTTGGTATATTTTTTTCATAAATTTAACCCTTAACCTGCCCGCAAGGGGGGATTTAAAATAACAACTTTTTCACAAAAAATTAATTTTTTTAACTTAAATTTTGAAAATGTTCCGGAAGGTCTGACACTTTTATATATATCTTAAATTAAAGCTAATGTAATATACTTTATTATGAAAAACAAAAATTTCGGACTTTATCTTATCTTCATGGTGAAAATGGCTACCGAATGCTAATTTTGTGTGAAAATTTTCGATTTTGTATTTTCGATTTTTAACATTATTATGCTATAACTTTTTGAAAAATGTATGAATCATTACAATTTTTTTATGAGAAGTAGTATTTATATAGATCTTTCATTCGACATACTGTTTTTTTAAATCGGACCATTTCCCTAAATACAGGGGGGATTCAAAACATAAAAATGCATATAGAAAGTAGAACTTTTTCAACGTAACTTTTGAAAGTGTTCCGGAAGGTCTGACACTTTTATATATATCTTAAATTAAAGCTAATGTAATATACTTTATAATGGTAAAAAAAAATTTCGGACTTTATTTTATCTTCATGGTGAAAACAGACATTAAACTTAATAAAAAAAATACGATTTTTGTAAAAAAATTCTTTTTTATATTTTTAACTTTATAATGCTATAACTTTTTGAAAGATCTATGGATCAATATAATTCTTTTTTTTGTAGATGCATGATGTTTTTACCTATCATTTAATATATTTTTTTTCATATCCTACCCTTTACCTGCCCACAGGGGGGGATTTAAAATGACAATTTTTTCACAAAAAATTTACTTTTTCAACTTAAATTTTGAAAGTGTTCCGGAAAGTCTGACACTTTTATATATATCTTAAATTAAAGCTAATGTAATATACTTTATAATGGTAAAAAAAAATTTCGGACTTTATTTTATCTTCATGGTGAAAACAGACATTAAACTTAATAAAAAAAATACGATTTTTGTAAAAAAATTCTTTTTTATATTTTTAACTTTATAATGCTATAACTTTTTGAAAGATCTATGGATCAATATAATTCTTTTTTTTGTAGATGCATGATGTTTTTACCTATCATTTAATATATTTTTTTTCATATCCTACCCTTTACCTGCCCACAGGGGGGGATTTAAAATGACAATTTTTTCACAAAAAATTTACTTTTTCAACTTAAATTTTGAAAGTGTTCCGGAAAGTCTGACACTTTTATATATATCTTAAATTATAGCTTATATAATATACTTAATTTAAAAAAAAAAATAATTTGACCTCTGTTTTGTCTTCATAGAAAAAATAGTCACCGTATTCAAAAATATGCTATTATTGTGTTTTAATTTTAGGTTTTGTATTTTATTTTATTTTAAAATACCTTACAAGGGGTGTACACAGATTTTCAAAATGATTATATAAATCTAATTAAAAAACTGAGAAAGTTTATACTTATTAAAGTTATTTAACTATATTGTTTTTTTTCTTATCATATTATCATTATTGAATTTTTTGAACCAAATAAATTTTTACTCGCAACAATTTATAATTTTCAATAATTTTTGAGAAATTAAATGTCTTACCAACCAAAAATCGATCATCTGTGTAGAGCTTGATTTTTGCAAACAAATTTGGGTTAAATTTTAAGATTACATACTTTCAAATAAACGAAAATTAAATTATTTTGTGCATAAGTTTATTTATTAATTATATGCCATTTAAAATATATAGGAATTAATTATATAAATCTAATTAATAAACTTAGAAAGTTTATACTTATTAAAATTATTTTACTATATGGTTTTATTTTCTTGTTAATGCTGCACGAAATACTTCTGCGCAATTCATCATACTTTCCATAAACTTTGGGATATTTTTATTGACGCCACAAAGTTTTTTTTGCAAATTCTTTATTAACGAATCCGTTAGTTTTTATTGGACAATTATACTTTTATTATAAAATAATTATAAAATAATAATATTAAATTAGATTAAATTACCGCTAAAGTACACTAGCTAAAAAAATTATGAGTTGCAGGAGTGTCATTTCTCAGTATTTTGGGGTTGCTGATTACGTTAATTATGTCAGAATTACTCTATCGGATCTTGTTTTTTAGATAATAAAAAATTAAAAAGAAAAATTAAATAATTAATGAGAGAATTAATGAATTAAATAAAATTATTATAATTAATATAATTCCAATTATGATAATAGTAAGCAATTACTTGCTTACAATATTTATCACAATTGAACTACATACTAAAACTCATTAAATTGTTTTTTTGACTCTGTATTCGATTTTAAAATTCATAATTTTTAACATTTATAACATAATAGTTAGAGTAAATTAGTGTAAAAGTCCAATATTGAAATAAATAATTGAAGTTTATAGTTATGAACCCAATAGTTATTGAATATCAAATTTTGCACTATTTTTACGTGTTTTTTTTAACCGTATGGTTATACCATAAAAATGTCGAGCTAAAATTGAATACATAACATAGATATAAAAATTGATCATACTTTTATTTTACTCTTTACGAATATTATTCTAGGTTTATAAAATAATTTCATAATTCTTGACATATTTTTGATAGGATATAAAATATGCCAGCACGAGTAATAAATAATAAGTATGTCATTGTATTTTTTTTGTTTTTATCATGTCCCCATTTAATGGGAATAAATAAAATCATTGTACGTTTTACTGCAGAACCAACGGTGACGTGATCGAAGTGTCATTAATATGATTTTATATTTTTTCTGCACCGTTAAAATGGCTCCCGAATGCTATTTTTGTATGAAAATTCTCGATTTCATATTTAACATTTTTAACTTTATAATGCTATAACTTTTTGAAAAACATATGGATATAGATTGATTTTTGTGAACAATTTTAGGTTAAATTTTAAGATCATAAACTTTCAAATAAACAAAAATTAAAATTTTCTGTATATTAGTATATTTATTAGTTATATGTCATTAAAAATATATAGAAATTGAAAAAATAATGTAGGAATAGTATATATTTATAAGATTATAAGATTATTATTTTTTAACTTTTTTGGTTCCCATTATAATAGACGTTGTGTCACACAATTTTTAAACATAGAGTTATTATAGTATAATTTTTTCTAAAACGTCCGAGAAGTCCAAAAACGCTTCAGCCGCATCACAATTAGGGATTTGACCTCTTTGGTATTAATGTTGTATGAAATATTTTTACGCATTTTTGCATACTTTCCTTAAACCCTTGGTTAGTTATATGGTCGCCACAAAGCTTTTTTACCAATTCTTGACTAACGGATTCGTTACTTTTTACTAGACATCTATACTGCTTTGGAAAACCTTTTACGGTATTCTTAAGAAAATTAATGTCCGTTAAATTTCCTATTGAATAAAATAATAATATTATAACAGTTTAAATTATAACTAAAGTATACTAGCTAAAAAAATTATCAGTTGCAGGATTGTCATTTCTCAGTATTTCGGGGTTGCAGATTACGTTAATTATCTCAGAATTACTCTATCGAATCTTGTTTTTTAGATAATACATTTTTTTAATTTTTGAATATGTGCTAGCTTTTAAAATTACCTAACTCTTATACAACTCTTTAAAGCCTAATAACAGTATATCACATGATAGCTACATACATAAAGAATACAATACTAAATAGAAGTTATTATCGAGAGAATCGAACGTACGTTGTACACAAATTACTTGAGACCAGTATTGACATATAGGTGTGAGACGTGGGCTACTACAATGATGACTACTCAAAATTAAGTACAAAAGAAAGAAAAGTGTTAAGGAAAATATTTCGCCCAGTGTATAATATAGAAACGGGAACGTACGAAAGAAGATATAATATTGACTTACAAAATTTATATGGAAAAATAAATATTCTGCTAACTATCGTATAGCAGAAGTAAAAGGATAGAATGGGCTGGACATGAATGAAGGGCTTAGGCAAAAAATTTAAAACGAGTTACAGAAGGAAGAATTGTGGGTAAAACACTTTTAGAAAGACCCCGAACAAGGTGGAAGGATGTAGTAGAAAAATATTTAAAAATGATCCATGAAAACGTAAAAATAGAGGATGCGAATGATAGGGACAGATGGAGTGAAATAGTGTTGGCAGCGATGGACCTACATGGTCCGTTAAGCTGTTAAGAAAAAGAAGCTATAGACATAAAGAATACAATACTAAAACGTCCAATTCTTCAACTTGGATTAATGTTACATGGACGCATCAATACGTAATTTGGTACGCATCTGTACCAAATGTTTATAGAGGTAAATTGACATAACAAAACACAGTTCTATATATATTTTGTGAAATTTTTATTCATACGTCAATGTAAAATTATAATAGTTTGATACTTTAAAAGCTTGCACACTAAAAAAAAAAATTATATGCATTATCTAAAAAAAAATCAGCACAGGGGTTCGATGCACAGAGGTGTCGTGGCATAGTTGGATCAAGTATAACGATATCTGACAGTGAATAAAATCACTATCAAAAAAAAACGCTTCGATACAAATCTTTAGATAGTGTTTAATTTTAAAAAATTGGTGGATTATTCCAAAAGCTACATTATTTGTTATTTTCTTATTAATATCTCGATTAAGATAAAATATGTCCAATAAAAAAGGGATTATTAAAAAGTATTATTTCTCATAAAAAAATTGTGTTGATTCATATACTTTTCAATAAGTTATAGCATTATAAAGTTAACAATGTAAAAAATAAAATCGAGAAATTTCATACAAAAATAGCATTCGGTAGCCATTTTCACCGTGAAGAGAAAATTAAGTCCGAATTTTTTTTTTTCCATAATAAAGTACATTACATTAACTATAATTTATGATATATATAAAAGTGTCAGACTTGCTGAAACACTTTCAAAAGTTAACTTTAAAAAGTTCTACTTTCTATATGCATTTTTTAGATTTGAAGTCCCCCCGTATATAGGGAAATGGTCCGATTAAAAAAAAAAGTATTTCAAATGAAAGATGTATGTAAATACTACTCCTCATGAAAAAATTGTGTTGATCCATACATTTTTTAAAAAGTTATAGCAGTTTAAAGTAAAAAATGTAAATTATAAAATCAAGAATTTTCACATAAAAATAGCATTTGGTAGCCATTTCACCATGAAGACAAGTCCAGACTTCAAATTTTTTTTTTCAAATTTAAGTATATCACATTAGCTTTAATTTAAGATATATATATAAGTGTCAGACCTTACGGAACATTTTCAAAAATTAAGTTGAAAAACTTAGTTTTTGTAAAAAAGTTGTTATTTTAAATCCCCTTCCGATGAGCAGGTTAAGTGTTAAATTTTCAAAAAAATGAAAGGGAAATATCTAAGGTTTTAGTATAAAAAAAATTTATGTTGATTTGTTTATTTTTGAAAAAGTTATGGAAGTTTAAAGTAAAAAAAATTGAAAAAATTTCGAAAATGCGCGATTATTAAATTTGTAATTTTTTTGGAGGTTTCCCCCATTTACGGAAAACGAGGGAAATTTTTTCAATTTTTAAGGGTAATGTCTTCGACTAGATACAATTTTTGATCTTTAGACGTATCGTTGAAAGAAATCCGCTTGGTGAGTGCTGAGAAAAAGTGGTAACAGACACAAAAAAAAAAAAACACATCATTGTAAAACCAATACCTTCTCAGCTTCGCATCGAAACTAAAAACTAAAAAGTTAATTCTAAGATCATTTATGGAATCGCAACCACGAAATACTTAGAAATTTTCTCTCACATACTCGCAACTGACAATTTTTTTTTTTTTTTATTGACCAGGGTTATTTAAAAATATTGTTAAATTAATTCTAAGATAGATTCAATTTTTTATCATACAAAACTGCCATAATAGGTATAGATTTATACCACTTTATTAATTGCCTTATTTTTTATAATACCACAAGTACAAAATTAAATTTTACCTTGAATAATACCTGGAACGTTTTGACATAGCCTAATACAATTCTGCAACATTTCTACTGCATGATCAAAATTAGGTTCGTCTCGTAGCATCTGTTTAAATGAAAAGTATGAATGTTGAATAAAATTTATTAATGCATTCATCTTTGTATTCAACGAACTTAAGATGTAGTTCTAATATGAACTGTAAGTTTTTTTTTTATTAAGAAATTAGTAGCATACAAAAAAATGATAACGCTTTATTATTCATTAATTGATCAAATTTTTATTAGTCATTAACATAGTTCCAACCCTAATTTACAATTTAAAACTATTTAAAAATTTGGGCTTAAACTACTAATTCATCATTAATTTGGTTTTCATAACATCGGAATCAATAATAGTCTGTTTCAATGTACCATAATATATTTTTATGTTTGTTATAAAAAAAAAAATTTCTACGCAGGTCGTTCAACAATCTATTACAGCAAACTTACGTAGAATATAATAGTATGCTTATAAAATTGACATGAATAATGTTAAAAGATAAGATTTTTGTATAATGATAAATACCGAGTTGTATCTGTGATAAATGACTACAACTGTAGGCTAAACAATAAATTATCAATAGAAAATTGGTCAAAAATCTTTTAACTTTAACAACAGATAACAGAAAAACAAAATTGTTAACAATTTTCTTCTATTATATCATTAAACATAGAATAGAGGTTCTCATTAAAGAAAAGAAAATTTTTATTTTTAATCTGAAAGTATGAAAAAAAAATTATCTATATATTAATGTAATGTTTTAAATCAAACAATATTTTCCTTTTTTATTATTAATTTATTAAACTTATGAAGTATAACATAAATTTGTATTTTACATTAATATTTTGCTAGAAAAAGTATAATTGAAAAAATGATTAGATAATTTTTTATTGTTTAAAATTATATTTTAAGTAGTCATTAAAAATTTGTTTTTGTAGTAGCACTAATAAGTATTGTACCATGGGTCTACCCCTTCCATTAGACGTGTGAAACGTCATTTAATAGCATAACTCGATTGGAAATCCTATTTAAAAAAAAATATAAATATTTATTACTTTGAATATTATTTAACAAAGTTTTAAATATAATAAAAATTGATCACTTGTGGCTAGTTAATTAAGTAAAATTAAAACTATATTAATAATGTTTTTAATATAGTTTTAATTTTACTTAAAGTTTTAAATTGTTATTAACTAAAACCAAAACCCTAACATAAACAAATTGATAGACCAAAACCTTATTGAAACCGATAATTAAAAAAAAACCAAAATCCTACCGTAACCCATAAATTTAATTTTGTTCTGAGGCTTGGTATTCACTTAATTTTTTTAAAATAGAAACATATATTACTCACCATAATACAATCCATCTGTGAGGTTTCTTTGATAATCTATTATACGAAAACATAAATATATATATATATATTAATTTATTTTATACATATACATTTATAAATTCATGTATGCATATTAAATTTNTACATTTATAAATTCATGTATGCATATTAAATTTAATTCATTGTATATAATACTAATAAAAACAGATAAAAAGAACATACATGTCTAACTATACTTAAATGTTAACTATAATTAACATGCTAGAAAATGAAAATTCAAAAATTATAAAAATGATCTTTTTAACAGACTTATATTAGTTTCACTTGTATGTTGTTTGTTGTGTGTTGTTTGTAACTCTCTACGTGCCACGTGTTATTGCGTACCCGTCGTTTATGGTCCTGAGACTAGACTATATATTTATGTTAAAATTAATTTATGTATGCCTTTAGCCGCCGCCGCCGAATATGCCTCACGTATAATAATAATAATAATATGCCTGTACTACTGTTATTTATAATATGCTAAATTTACACTATTTTATACAATTATTAAAAGTTTATTGTTATGACGTCAAGTTTAATCTACATTAATTAATTTAAGAGTTCTCCAATCACACAAAACAAAAACACACTTACTCATTTATTCACAACATAGATCACTGGTTTTGTGTAGGCGAACCTTCCCA